ACACACACACACACACGCACACGCACACGACACACACACACACACACACACACACACACACACACACACACACACACACACACACACACACACACTGACTCTCTGCGTTAGTTCTAGAGCGATCTCTGTCACAGCGCCGTTGCTTATGTATATGATAGAACGTAACCTAGCAACTGCAACACATGTTTGTAGTTATCTGCCAGCTGACTGCCTGCTGTCCTCCACTATTTAGCGGAGGCATAGCGGAGCGTTCGTGAAACAGGAGTTGTCCGTTCGCTAAGTTTTCCGTTATGCCTCCGTTCGCTAAAGAGCGAACGGAGAACTTGGCGGAGAACTTCAACGGAGCTTTGTGAAACGCGCCCCTGCCTGTCAAGTCTTACCAGATGGGTGGGGTAATAACACAGGCTAATGGCACAGCAGGTGGTGAAGCGCATAGATTTCTATATTGAAAGTGCACTTATTTTTTTAACACAATTTACTGTGTTCGATTAAAAATTATCGGCAGCATTGTTCTCGATACGGAAACAGTGTTAAAAGTGAAGCTGCCGGGAGGGAGGGTCTGGATGGAACACAGCTGAACATTGGGCCAAAACAGACAGTTCAGTAGATGTGTTATTCAATATACTGTACCTGAGTTTTGGTTTAGAGTCACTTCACATATATGTCCATGTGTACTGCGCGTGTGTTGTTCCCTATGGAGTTCCTACTGAGAAATACTAGTGGCAGTTGTAGTTGATAGAGGGATAATCTTGGCCTTGACACTACCTGTGTTTTCTCTAGCATCCAGGCATGTAGCAGCAAATAGATTAGTAGGTTGGCAACAACCCAGGTTGTCCAACAAGGCAGGACATTAAACCTTGACGACGTGCTGTCAACCGAAACACTGCACTCTCATTTTTCTCTAGACCATTAAAACCCTATCATCCACATACCTGTTGAATGCCATGTTTGCATGCCAAGCTGTTGCACGCAGTAGGACCCTTGTGCAACGCAACAATATGTGCGTGTGCGTGCGTGCGTACGTGCGTGCATGTGTATGTATGTGCTTGTGTGTGTGTGTCTATGTGCGTGCGTGCATACGTGCATAAATGCGTTTGGATGTCTCGTGTGCGCGCGCGCGTGCGTGCGTGGGTGTGTGTGTGTGTGTGTGTGTGTGTGTGTGTGTGTGTGTGTGCGTGCGTGCGTGCGTGCGTGCGTGCGTGCGTGCGTGCGTGTGTACGCAAGTGTGTGTGTGCGTGTACGCAAGTGTGTGTGTGCGTGTACGCAAGTGTGTGTGCGCGTGTATGCAAATGTGTGTGTGCGTGTACGCAAGTGTGTGTGTGCATCAGCATGTGTACATTTGTATGGCGTGCATACTTGCGTGTGTATGTGTGATGGTCACTGGATTATCCGATAGTACATGTAAAAGGAACTAATAACAAGTAAATAATCTTCAAGTTAAAGCAGCATTTATGGTCTCTAAAAATATTAAAATGCAAAAAAAGGTGGGATGCAGATTGAGTAAAGTGTGTGATACCTGCCCGCTTGCCACCTACGTAAGGGATTATGGCCTAATATCCTAGTGAGATCATCAGTACATGTGGTTGTGCATACCAGCCCGTCATGAAGGTTAAATGGAGGTCGAAAGGTTTTAGAATCATGATTATGCAATAGCTTTTAGCACTTGGGTTGGGTTTAAAAAATATGGAATAATTATGACCATGCACGTGCCAAAAGGACCTTGCCCGCTCTCCTTTTGAAGAACCAAGGTTGTATGATAACACGCATGCTGAGTCAATGGTGTATTTAGTATTTTTTTAAATGCAGCTCCACCACGTATAGATTGATAGACCAAAAAACCATTTGGGTGCAGTATCATGTGACGCTTGTACACACACGTGCACGCACATGTATATATCTATATATATATATATATATATATATATTATATATAGTTGCAGTCTTGGCTTATCCCTTTGCATTTCTAATTAACACTATGATCAAAACATACCGGGTGGCATCGGTTTAACAGTATGTTGCTCAGGTAGATTTCGCGCACATTTTTGTTATGCATCAGAATTGTTTTTGATGCGTTGCCAGGATATATTGCCCTACCTAGAGTGTCTTGTATTTGTAAACATTAGAACTGTCATGCACTATAATGCTTGCTATTAGTTCCCCTAGGTAAGGTTGTCTGTGGCAGTGACCAGTGTCCCGGACAGAGCTAGTGATGATGACCTCCCTCCCTGCCTGCCTCCCCGCAATCTCTCCTTATCTTGTTTTTGTAGCTTATCAACATTTACCTTGGGCCTAAGATAAAATATTGCTTGTTTTCCCTTTACCGACCGACTACTACGCAGCTACTCGACACATTTTATTGGCCGATTAAAACAAAAACAAAATTATTTCGTTTCGCCAAAAAAAAAAATCAAATTCGTTCCGCAAAAACATATACACGAAACAGAATATACAATATACATGTACACACATCTTGTCAAAACAAAATAAAAAAGATTTGCACCTGCCTATACCTACTCGGTACCCTGAGAGGCGAGTAGGTAAAGGGGAAACGAACAATTTTTTAAGGGTGGCCTTGTTTCTTATGATTTTGGCCTGGTGAACTATTGGTCGTACAACGCAGGCGTGCAATATTATACCTGAGGCCTTTTGTCATTAGTGTAGAACTGGAAAGGATGAAGGCAGCGTGGGCATTATATAGAGAGGGAGAGGAGAGAGGAGAGAGGGTGGGGAGAGGAGAGAGGAGAGAGGAGAGAGTGAGAGTGAGAGTGAGAGTGAGAGAGAGAGAGAGAGAGAGAGAGAGAGAGAGAGAGAGAGAGAGAGAGAGAGAGAGAGAGAGAGAGAGAGAGGGGAGAGCGTTTGAATGGCTATAGCAGGGGTAGAAATGAACTTTTGAACAAGGGAGTCCAACGGACTCACTACCCTCAAAAGCTCGGGTGTCTGCAGCAAAATGAGGGAGTCCGCAGTCTGAGGTTCAAAATTAAAGATATTAACAATAACGCATGTGCTTATTTTTAAGATTCATGCAGTTGCACGTCTGCCAAATTTTCTTTGGACATTAGCTGAACAAATACAGTAATTCCGCGAGGCTGTGCTCCGGAACGAACTAGTTAGTATATGGCAGAATTTTCAGGGAGTCGCACGGACTCCTGCATATATGTCAAATCAGGGAGTCCGACAGTAAATCAGGGAGTATTTGACTCCGGACTCCCGTTAATTTCGCACCCTGCTATAGTGTTTGTTGTAAGCATTACGGAAGAGAACCTTACTTGACCATCTAATACTTCTAATCCCGATTGCATAATATGCACAAGCTTTGATCCTTCTGTGCTGTACTACCATTACACGTCATCACCTTCTAATCCTCCTCAACTATCGTATTCCAAGCTAACAAAAACTTTGTGATTACCTCCGCGCAACGGAGTTGCAACTTGCAGGGAGGTAATGTAATCGGTCTCGTGTGTGTGATCGTGTGTGTGTGTAGCATTGGCGCGATCGATTCAGCACCAGCTCGCCTTAGGGCGTCCAGTCAGCAGCAGCTCGCCTTTGGGCGTCCAGTCAGCAGCAGCTCGCCTTAGGGCGTCCAGTCAGCAGCAGCCAGCAGCGAGCCAGCTGTTATACACATGTATACATGTTACACGCTCGTGGAGGTATGCACTCTCTTTGAGTGCCCTCTGTCTAGTTCCATCGTGTGGTCAGGCTTGGCTGGTGTTTTGAAGCAATAAGCGGATATATATAACGATTGACCTATTGTACGTTCTTATTAAAATGTGAATGAATATAACAAGTGTAAATATGTGTACACAGGGGCGTGTACAGGGGGGGGGTCCAGGGGGTCTGGACCCCCCCTGCTCGCGCAGAAAACTCATCTAAGGGGGTCTAATTTCAAAAAAATTCTGTTCCCCAGACCCCCCCTTCGCGTGCTCGCAACGTTGGGTTACGGTTAGACCCCCCCCCCCCTGGTACAAATCTTGTACACGCCCCTGGTACATACATAGAATTATTTTGGGTTTGGAGTCATGTTACTAGCGTACTTGTAAGTTTACAGTAAGTTTACACCAGCACATCTGCACTCTTGAGATAGAATTATGAGAATATGGCTTATTGTCAATTGATATCTCCAGTTTTTTTACTAGAATGCAATCATGCGGGAACGTTAGCACTTCGTGTAGAAACCTGTAAATTTCATTATGTAAATGTCATGATGTAATATGTGATGATTTAAATATCATGATCCCTCCCCCCTCATCAGATAACTACTATCCCATAACTACTATCCCATAGCTTTCTACGAGTTTTGCACACATCAACGCTTGTGCGGCCGTTGCAGCAGCAGCAGCTGCTGATTGATGCATACACGTGTCTTTACAGGTCTGCGAGGGACGTACATGTGCCATGTCTATGACTTCTACAAGCCTGACCTGTCGTCCGAGTACCCCGTGGTGGATGGCAAGTTGTCTATTAAGTGCTATCTACGAGCACTCGACAACTGTTATCAACAATACCGCGCCAAAGCCCAGGCAGTGATGGATAGAGGTGAGCTCACCATCACATACTCACAAAGATTTTATTCCCTGATGGATTTAGGATACCTTGTTGATTTTTGTAGTAGATGATGGAAATGCTCGAGTGACTTGCAGGTTGAGAATGTGTGTGGATTTACACTTCTTCGTGGAAAGTAGAGTTATTAGTTTTATATATTAAATGAAGAGAGAGCTGTATACCCACCCTATCATGGCACTATATTTCACTCCGGTGCAAGTTGTTGCTATGACACATGACTCGACGTCTGTACCTTGCACATGTGCGTATATGTTCTGGACTTTACCTCCTAGCGGATTTTGAACCTATTTGCCTGGGCCATGGAATGCGCAAGCACCACCTAAAATAACTGATAAAGGTTTGATGACACAGCTTTTTCCCTTGAACGTTGATCTGTGATCTAGCGTTGTTCAGCGCCACTGTGGTTTCGATAATCGGTCCAGCTATCGCACCTAAGCTGACCCAACGCTGACGTACGTACCTTTGCTGGGTTCCTGCAGCATGTCAGTTGATAACCCGGCAGATGTACAAATATATCATGCCCAGTTTATTCAAGGCCTAGATCCATCGATCCTGCAGCCTTTGTGGGAAAATATTGCCAATGTGATCTCTGTATAGGTGTGGGCTAATCTTGTGTTAAACTTACATGGAGCTCAATGATTTGAATATCAGTTGACACGGCCATTCTGGTCAGTCACCCATCTTTAGCACGTGTTTGTGCTGATTACTCACTCACACTCACAGTCACCCAAGCTCCAGCAAATTGGCAGCTTAGGCGTATACTTAAGTCATGCATTTACTTTGGCATGTAGAACATTACGCATCAGGACATTGGCTATAGGGGAAATATCCAGATATTTGGCAATTTCAAAACATTCCATAACCTGTTTTCCAGCATCCATCAGGCTGCAGTGGTACTCGTATGTATGGCCCAGGAAGTGACAGAACTGTTTATAGTTCTTCCTATGGTGAAAATTCACAACCATTATTTAAAATTACGTTATTAAATTAAAATTAATTATTTATATGATTTAAAATCATATAATCAATAATAATTTCAGAAATACATGTAAAACAACGGAGCCACGTTTTCATTCATAATGTATTTTATAATCTTACTAGTGGGATACCCGGCGTTGCCCGGGGAAATCGGTGGCGTTACTCAGTTGGTGACCGCTTGCAGGCATCGAATTTGGCAATTTGCCTCTGACAGCAAGTAAGGCTGCTACTTGCTGTCAGAGGCTGTGCCCTCTGACAGCAAGTAGCAACACTCTGACAGCAAGTCTAGAAAACCGAACGCGTCGATTTTCTGTGAAAAATCACAAGTTATACGGTTAAAAGATAATGATATTGATTAACATATATATACAATTATTTCTTTATTATGGTATCAAATATGAATAAAACCAAGATGGTATATTGTAGTCGCTGGGTAATTCTGCTGCCAGACGACTGTGCGCTTAGCTTGCGTGCTATGTGCGCCGTGTATTTGTGTGACTAAACTTACGAATTCGATAATAAAATGAGAGTAGACTGATGTAGATTACAAACTGTCGTTTCACCGTATATTATATACTCACTAAAACACGTACAAATCACACAGGCTAAACTAAAGATTGCGGCAGTGTCGGGCCCCCCTTCTGTGTGTATCTAAGATATTATGTGTGGTCAGCTAACCCGCCCTATTGACACCGATGACGCCAATGTGTGCGGTCAGTGTAGAACAGCTGTTTAGTAGCTGTTGTAAAACCAACGTTACTAATGTGTGTGTGTGTTCTTTTGCCGACAGCTAACCCAAACTAATGTTGTGACGCGGCTAAGGTGTGTGTCTAAGCTGTTATTCGTAGAAAGTTGATCCGTACTCTAGGCAGTGATGCCAATAGAGCTGCGCCTATCTTCGTGTGTATCTATTGCGTGTGGAACTAATTTTACCAGTTGTTTGTATGTCCGGCAGTTAAATCCGTCTTCTTGCCAGCTGGTGTGGTATAAGATTATGTCTGTGTTGATGCTCTGCCGCCGGTTATAACCTAACCTTAGCTTGTGTGTGAGCTGCTATTAATGCATTCGCGGAGTGATATTAGCGTTGCTACAATACAATTAATATTAAAGTTTTTGTCAATTTAAAATATTTACATGTAATAAAATACAAAAAGTCCAGACACAGAGCAGCAGTGAGACACATTGTTAGATTATTTAATCTAACAATTGAAGACTATCTGTCATAGAAATATTGATTTAAATTGCACAGTAGTGGGGACTGACTCAGCAGCATACACAGGTTTCTGATGTAAATTGCACAGTGACTTAGTAATCGACAAACATTGAAAACATGTATTTCATGTATACATGTATACATTTGAAGAATATATACAAAATACTAGTGGTAAAATCACACTGAACCGTGGTGATTATTACTATTCCGTGGGATAGGGTGACTGTTTGTACTTGTGTGTATATTTTGTGTATATAAGTATCCGATGCTCGGATGAATATCCACGATACGATATATTTGTCCTTTAAGGACGTGGATATTCGTCCGAGCATCGGATACTAGTTCGGTGGCGCTATTCGGCTGAGCATTGTTGCGCATCACTACGAAAGGTTATATATACACCATAGATTAATTTTGGTGCTATGACATGTGTATATAAGATAGCCGAGTCGGTTTAGAGTTAGTGTTAGTGTTAGGGTTAGGGATAGGTGTAGGGTGACTGTTTGTACTTGCGTGTATATTTGGTATATCCACGTCATTAAATTATACATCTGACGGCATTTAGGTACTTAGTGCTACGACTGCATTTACTTGCCGCCGATACAGACTACCTCTGACGGCAAATCAATATGTTCCGGCGGCAAATGCCGTCAGTTGCCGTCGTAAAATTCGATCCCTGCGCTTGGTTGAAAGGAAAATACCCAAAAAATCAAAACTATCTATCTATCCATGCATCCATGCATCCATCGCATTCCATGCCACCGCATCCCATCCCATCCCATCCCATATGATATATCCCATCCCATCCCATCCCATATGATATATCCCATCCCATCCCATCCCATATGATATATCCCATCCCATTCCATCGCATGCCATCTCATCACATCCCAGGCCATGCCATGCCATGCCATCCCATCCCATTCCATCGCACCGAATCTCATGCCATCCCATCCCATCCTATTCCATGCCATCCCATCCCATCCCATCCCATCCCATCCCAACAGTAAAAAATAATAAAAAATCAAAAGATAAAAGTCATTAAAATAAAAAAGGCAAAAATTATAAATAATAAAATGAAATTATATAGCAAATATAATAATATTTGATATGTAACCTACATAGTATTCCGTGAAGTGTTCCCGTCAGTTTGCGCTATCATTATCATCTACCATAGTTTATTCTAGATTTTTACTAAACATTTAAATGTAAAAAAATGTGGTAAATTTTGAAATTAACGGTGAATAAGGCAAAAGTACATACTAAACAGTCCAAAAGTAAAGAAACAAAGCATTTCCCGAGGTGGGATTCGAACACAGAATCAATGGTTTAGGAGTCCGATGCTTTATCCATTCGGCTACTGGGCCGTTATGGTTATACACCATGGATTCACACGTACGTGATGTATAATGTTAATCTGTACGCCATTTATTGATGAATAGAATTTTTATTAACTTTTTAACTTTTTTGAAATTCCCAGACGTGCTGATTCTGAAAATATATTTAGTTTTCCTCGAGGCTGCGGAGTTCTCTAGTTATGCGCTAACTCACAAATACACATTACCATCAATAAATAGATTCACATATTCTCTCTTGAGATAATGCACCGCAATGAAAGTTCATTTCTAAGCATTTGTTAACCAATCTAAAAACTAAACATCATATTTACTATTAACAGTAAACTGTATTTAAAAATCATTCAATTAACTTTTTCTACGTACCTACCGACGTTATCATGTGTCGCTTTGTTTTCATTTTTGTTCCAAGTAATGTTCTCTTTGAAGGTGACATTGACGTTGTGTACACTGTGACATCCGCTTAGATTGAAAACCACCTGTATCAGAATTTCACAGGCAAATTAAGGTCGTAAATATTGCAGAGGTGGGAGTTTGTTATCACATTAAAAAGACGAAGGTAGCACTAGTGTTTCTAAACTTCTATCTAGAAAAAGAGATGATGTGGTTTGTGAAGGTGGCTTGGTGGTGAATTCTATTGCACAAACCATGAGAACATGATTGTGCAATTTGACCAATTTACGTGTAAACGCGTGTCGTTATAGCACATGAATTTTATAGTGTAATAAGTTATTATTCAATGTTGTGCAATGCATGTAACAGTATTTACAGTATTTGCATACCACAAAAAATCCTTACAACAAAGGCAGAAATTGACTTGGTATTTGTACGAGTAGATATTGTATATTAGTTCATCCAACATTTTTGGTAATATTTGTGTTATTGTGCACTATATGTGCATGTGCATGCACCCACATGTATATGTCTGCGTGTGCGTGCGTGCACTGGCTGTGTATGTGTGTATTGAGATACAGGTGCATACTTGCGCAAGGCTCCCTTATCATATATATTTTACTAATTATATCATAAATAAATCTAGGCAAGAGATAGAGGTGTCCGTTAGTTCAACTGATATATAGTGCTGACGATCACTTGATCGTTTACGCAGAAAGTAAACGTTGGTGATCTATTACTATCGAGAATATGTCAGATCACACTCTTGCTTAAAGATTAAAATTGCAAGGGGTGGCATATTGTAATGTGAATGATTTAGTTTGTGCCCGCAAAACACCATGTAGGTAGTAATTCAGCTTTGAAGGTGAAATAGGGATGGTTGGTCATGCTTTGATTGCCTCACTGCATTCTGGCTAATGTTGGCATGCATATGCCAGATTTGCAAACAAAATGGTTCATGGGTTGGGTTAAACCTCAGTTTAATAATCGAATCAACAATTTACATTTATTTTGAAACACTAACTGTTACATGAATAGTCTCAGTGAGATTATTCATTTTTATTAAGCTGTTTATGTACAGTAAACCTATTCTAGTTAAAAGAAGAATTTTTATATCGTTTTTGCTGCAATTATATATCCGTGGCTTGAATTCGTACCTGTTTCTTTTGACATAGTTAGTTGTAGTAGACGGTTTACTTACGGCTGGTGTCTCTTCCATAGAGAAAAATGGCTCTGTGTTCAGCCTGGATTGCATAGATGCGATGTGCTTTCACTCACCCTACTGCAAACTTGTACAGAAGTCTGTTGCACGACTTGCACTCAATGACTTCGTACTAGAAGCCAACCCAGACCTTACTGGCAAGTACACAGGACTGGATCAGTTCAGGTATTATTCCCCATCATTCATATCACAATTCTTACATTACTCTTACTAACTGTGTAACTTTACTAACCATGTTAACTCGGTAATTATTCATATCACAATTCTTACATTACTCTTACTAACTGTGTAACTTTACTAACCGTGTTAACTCGGTACCAACACGTTCCTTCCATTGGCAGCAACTTTCTGATAGACAACCGAACTCGTGGTAATTGTATTATGTGGCTGTGCATGTTTACTATGCCGCAATGTTTTTGTGTTGTCGTGACACAGTTAAATTGACTATGTCACGAATTTTCTATGGTATATATTTGTAAAATTTTTGTTCCCATTTTGTGAAAAATTGAATTTTTTCCCCCACTTTACTATTTACGGTGACGTAATCACTTTAAATGTGGTCGCATCTATGAGTCGAGCAGAGGTGGGGCATCAGTGTGTGCTATGCGTTCCTCGCTCGCAGGCACCTCAAGCTAGAGGACACCTACTTCGACCGAGATGTGGAGAAGGCTTTCCTCGCCGCTAGCAGTCAGCTCTACGAGACAAAGACGAAACCTGGACTGATGCTTGCCAACCAAGTGGGGAACATGTACACGCCATCTCTCTATGGTGGTCTGCTCTCATACCTGGCCAGGTCAGTGCAGGGGCTTGGGTGCGTGTAGCACCACCGGTTGTGTTGACTTTGTATTGAAAATGACACCACTTAATATCATATTTTCGTTGCGACTTTCCAGCAGCCTACTTGTATGTACGGCAACGAGTTATTACCTACTTAATGTACTTGCGTAAACATTGTACTAATTGCTTATTGAATTTTCGAGGTGGAAGGTCTGAAATCTCAACCTTTTCCAAAAACGACAAACCTCAGAATAGACCTTGACTTTTTTCAATTTGCTCGTTCATTGCAGCAAACCAGCAAGTGAAATGGCAGGAAAGCGTGTGTCGTTGTTCTCGTATGGCTCTGGCTCAGCTTCGTCATTCTACTCACTTCGTGTGTCTACTGATTTGAAACCTGGTTCACCACTTAACAGGTACAGTGTGGCAGAACAGTGATGTAGGGAGCAGTGGTGATGGTACTGGATACGTGTAGTGCGTGCATGTACGGGGTGAGTTGTCTGTGTTAGATGTATGGATTAGATGTGTGGATTAGATGTGTGGATTAGGTGTGTGGATTAGGCAGGGGTCGAAATTTGATTT